CGCCCGCACCCCTTCCTTCCCTCTCCTCACACCGCTCCTCTCGTGCCCTCCCCCCTGCCTGTACCTGCTCGCCGGCACCCGTCTCTCCCCGCACGCGCTCTCCTGGCTGTCCGCCGCGCGGAGCCGCTACGCCGAGCGCCCGGATGTCGCCGCCTTCTTCCTGCACCGCCCTCACCTCCGCGTGCGCGCCTCATCCGCCGCCCCGGACCACCTCGCGCCGACGTGGCGCCCGCTCTCCCCCTTCCCGCAGCCGGCCGCTGACGCCTTCCTGTACCGACTCGCGCACGACACCCCCGCCTTCGTCCCCAACCACGCCCCGCACCTTCACGTCTGGCCCCTCTTCACCGAATGGCTCTCCCTCCGCCGCTCCGACTGGTACAAGTACCCGACCGGCCCCGGCCTCGACCGCACCCCGCTCGGCCGCTCCGCCCTCCCGGAGTCCAACTGGACCCGCGCCCCGTGGAACGTCTGGTTCTCCAAGTTCTTGCACGAGTACAAGCTCGCCGTTGTCTACCCGATCCTCCCCGCCCCGCAGGCCCTCGCTCTCCACGAGCGCACTGCAGTCGACCCCGCCGCCAAGCCCGCGCTGTACGCTGGCGATTCCAGCTGGCGTATTCCAAACGAGCCCCTCGTTTACGCTGCCGACGGTACGCCCGTCGATGACGCCAAGTTTAAGCAGGACAACGTGCGCAATATTGTCGAGCACGCCAAGCAGCACGGCGGCGTCGTCAGCTTCACTATGGTCAACAACGTCTTCTTGGATACTGCCCGCAGCTGGCTGTGCAACGTCGACGTCGCGGGCTTCAAGCCTCGCGGCTTGCTGTGGGCAGTGACAGATGAGGAGACCCGTGACGCGATGACCGCCATTTCGGACTCGCATACCGTCTTGCTGGATGACGTCAAGGGGGGGAAGGAGACGGGGCATGAGTTTGGGAACCCAGGCTACTGGAAGCTCATGCTGGAGCGAACTGCCTTGATTGGCGAAATATTACGCAATGGAGTAGCCGTGTTCGCGTTTGAGACAGACGCCATTTGGTTGGAGGATCCCGAGCCATACATTCAGGAACTCGTGCGGCAAGATGCGGATGTCGTCGGCACGATCAATACCAGGATGGAGGTGTCCGGCAACTTTTTTTACCTCCGCCCGACCCTGGCCACGCGCAGGATGTGGGACGAGGTCACAAACGGCTTTGAGGCGGCCTTTAGAAAGGAACATTTTGAGAAGAAGGCAGCGGATAGCTGGACCTACATCGAAAATGACCAGAGCCTTCTCACCAAGCTTGTGTTGCGCAATGAAACTTGGAGAAGAAGTTATCCACTCACCTTTCTCACGCTTGACATGGAGCTGTTTACGGATGGGAGATGGTACAAGCCAGAGGAGGGATTCTACACGACCGACAGAGCGCGAGAACCGGTGGTCATCAACAACAATTTTGTGATTGGAGTGCAAGAGAAAACCATGAGGGCTAAGAAGTGGGACCATTGGTTCTGGGACGAGAAGCAAAAGAAATGCTTGAACTCTGTCGTCGAGAAGGCCGTGCGAAAATCAAGAAAACCGCCTAGTGGTAATTTCATTTTATGAGTGAACGATGTGCGGCTCACGCATCATGACGCAGGACCCGTACGTCGAAGATTGCAGTGCCGGGGAAACACTCTTCCTGTTGGTTTGTACTATAAAAACTTAACTCCTGACTGATGCTAGGACGACTAGGCGTGACCACTAACGAAATCTGAATAAAGCAATAGACTTCCAACTTGACAACAAATGCCTCAGCTATTTCTCTGTGGATTCAAGACGTGGTCTCAGTCTACAGGGACCGCAAGTTCGGATGACTTGCCTCCGTCTTTTGTCGTGAGCATGGTCTTCAATTCCTCATTCTCCTCTCGAAGTAGTGCGACTCTTTCCTCCAAGTCTGCAGCGACACGGCGCGCCCTTCCGAGACGCCGATTCAGCCCACGGCTCGAGCCAGATGCGCGGCTTTCAGTGCGACTGGTTGACTTCTGCTCTTGTCCTGTACTTGCTCTAGATGCATCCCCCGGGTGATTAACAAATGCGATTAAAGAGTGCCCGGCAGAGGTGTTCCTGCTTGCTAGCTGGGAAGAACCACGAGAGCCCCTCGCCACAGCGGTTAATTTTGTTGTCTTCATACGGAAATTCTCTTTTTTGCTCAAACCTATGCGTGGCCGATAACCTCTCGTTTCAGCCAGCTTGCGCGACGGTTAGAGGAACAGCGGCAGACAGAGCAGGCGAAGCGGTGCGGAATTGAGAGGTGAAGGGTGGCTGCGACGGTTGAAGGCAATCCCTTTAAATTGGGAGCGAAACCTTGATGGAGCAAGGCATATGGGGAGGAGCGACAGGGGTGGCGTTTAAGACCAATGCAAGGTTGAGCACGAGGACTTCCAAAGGGCATGGAGTGCATGCTCCGTGGCACGCGCCGTGGAAAAGTAATATTTTCGAAAGTATTGGATGCATGCACTCACATATTGGTGGCGGACGACTGTGGCCACCTTAACGGCGGATTTATGGGCGCCATCCAAGAGGTCTATTCTGTCACGAGGGAACAGTCTGGTATCGATTGTCATCGGGGGTGTCGAGTTGCTGGAGGACTTGGATATATATCCGTGGAAGTCGTTCACCATAGACAGCCCCGTCTTGGAGCTTGTGAAGCGAAGCATGTATCTCCTTTTTAGCCCGAGAGCATCATTATCTTTTGCATGCGTACTCGCGTGGAAGCCCGCAATCGCGTACGCGAATGGCACGCAATCACGTGTACTTCGCCCATGTCATGTGTGTTTTGGTGAGACGAACGGCACCTTTTACTCTCGTTGTTTACATACACACTCGAGATTGGCCCTTAGATGTAAACGATCACCTTTGAGAGTTGCAACTGCTCATTAGTGTTTCGGAGCTGGACAAGACAGCCCCTCACTAACCAGTGAAAGAACACGAAATGCCCTACATATCAACAGATTTAATGAATATGGAAGCGGACACAATGGTTCCAAAAAAAATCTCCGCTAACTCTCTCGACTGGTATACTGATAGAGGTGTAGAAAAGCATTAATGCAACTCTCGAGTTGTCTTCCACTTCAAGGTGAAACTGTAAGTAGAGTATTGCTGCCTGGTTTATAAAGTATGTCAAGGGATTGCTAGTAGCAATCCCTTGACATACTTTTATACTCTTCATTTCACGTACTACCAGTACGTGAAATGAAGAGTTGCTAAACCCTTGAAAGATGCCTTTGTTCCGGCTCTTTTTTCTCTTTGCACACACCGTTTCCCTAGTGCTGCTATAAAAAAAGTTGAAGCAAGTACGGGTCTTCGTGAAAACAGAAAAAAAAGATAGCCAACAACTCTTTATTGAACAATCATTCATATGCTTCATTCTCGCCTTCCGTTTGTATACACATAAAAGCATTGAAAGAAATGCAACAAAACTATATTTGTTTTCGTCTTAAACTGGCGCAAATGGCGAAAAGACAGATCTTAACCATGAACAATTAGATGTGTGTTTTGTAAAAACGAAATGCAGTCTGCATCACGATGAGATGACAGTGTAATAATTCAAAAATACGGGCTGCGAAGGGGCTTATTTGCATATGTTTGTTATCTTTGATCCATCTTGATTGCTGTAGGAAAATCGGCGTACAGAATCGTTGGAACACATGCTTCATTTATTTCCTAGAAGATGTGTCTGTATTTGAGGTTTTTATGCAAGAGATTTCGGCAGCAATGCCCTTACTCGTCGAAAAACACGAGATAAAGAAAAGAAGTGTTGGAACTATGTGCTTGAGGGTTCGAGGATTCTACGACAAATCTCTTGCACTTGGATATAACATGTGCGCGTGTTGGCGAATTGACACGCTTCAAGAAAGAAACGTAAACCAAAGAGCGCTTTTGTACTTTTCAGATAAATTGTTGTGCAAGACCGTAGCAAGGGATCTCCTTCAACGAAAATATGACCATGCCACTTTTGTCATGTCTCAAGAGCGGTTTCATACATGTTGACCAATTCACAAGAGGGTCCACTAAGAATATGGGTTCGTCGCCAACTAGTCCTCGAAGATAGGTTGAAAGAAAGTCAATGGAGTTGAAGGGCAATAAAAGCAAGGGCCTCTGCAACATTCACTGGGCATAGTCATCATAGACACGTTATCTTGAATTTTGTCACCTAACCCTTGCTCACTTTGGCCACCTTAGCGTTTTTAGCGTATCTATGGATTTGTGAACTCCAAAAAAGGTTTCAATGGAAGATAAGGGTTGCACTTGTAAATGTGCCGAATGGCAAGCGAAGGGCTAAATGCGATGCAAAGTGTCTGTTGAAGGATTATAGCATAGGCAGAATCAAGGCAGGTCGTGTGTTTGGAGCCCTGCAAGAGGAAAAAAGGGCGATTCAAAATATGGCGACGAACGCTTGCGTTCACTGTTCCTGTGACGCAAGCTGCGAATACAGCATCAATACGAAAAAGTTTCTCTTTCTCCAGACGCGCGGGAGAGGCGAGTGGAATTATTTTGTGTTTTGAGTTCTTGCTTCACACGGATAGAACGCCCGGAAAGATGCATTCCAAAAGTGTATCAGCAGAACGTTTTTTACTCACAACATCAGTCTTTCGCAACCGGTTGATCTGGGGTTCTCATTTTCTAATTTCCTGCCCCTTTTGCTTACACTTTGGAAAGCGTCGTCCATGGTACTCTTTTTTTAGAAAGCTCTTTCTATAAATGTGCAATACACGGCTGAAAGTCGGTGTGAAGGATAAAAACGAGCAAATGTCAAATTGTTTAAGCATGTGAAAGAGGAGTAACAGAGCCACAACTGAGAAAATTGGATGCGATATTAATTTAAATTAGAACATCAATTTCTAGTGTCTATCGGACCGTTTGTCCTCATGTGAGGACAAAACTTATTTTATTTTTTCTAGACAACCCAACTCGCGGTTTCACTTCTGTTTTTTGAAACCAGAAGGCCATCACCACAGGTAAAGCTAATTTTATACCAGTAGCATAGAAACATGGGCTTGAGTGCTTGTTATTCGGTTCTAATAACTTCAGAAAAAATTTAAAACCAGTCAATCTACCAAAGCAAAATAGAAACCATGGCCATCAAAGTTGAAAAGAAATAAAATTCGCAGATTTTTATGTTATGATAACGCTTGGGCGGATAGACACTAGCACCTCTTAAAATAGTGTTCACATTAATGTGATCGACTTGAATCAATAAATTATATCTCAGTCCTCGAATACTGACTGAATTTAAGTCTTTTTTACGTACGGATGCACGCAATTGACCGTTGCACCATCGCTGCTTGATGTCAACTTGTCAACAAGTATCATACGATACGCGCAAAAGCAAGAGTGTCCGTGTCTACGCGCCCCGCTCGCATCTCTAAACATGCTCCGTCTCAAAGATCACCATCCAAGCATAAGGCGCCAGAATTTCTTGATACCGTATCGTAGAGCAGAGAAAAGAGCCCACGCAGTTGGCAAACATAACAGTTTGTATGTACAAAGCACGACAAAGCACGACAAAGCAAACCCTGTTTGCCTCTCGCTCACCGCTTTACTGTCAGTGGCTTGCGACTTGCTAGTTCGAAGCCGTTAAACGCAGGGATCGATTCTCTTCCCGGAGCCTCTTTTCCGTCGCTCTGAGGTTCTTTTCAATCCTCATAGCCTCTGCAATGTCGGCCTTGAGGGCCTGTATCCGCAACTTGCGCTTGTGATTGCTGCGTTGCGCACTTTCCCTATTCCGGGCTTTTCTGAGTTCAGCCTTTTTTCTTCGCTCATCCAAGTCATCCCCTAGAATCTTGCTCACGCCTCCTGACATCGCTGCGGCTGCCAGCGACTGTGAAGGGAGAATAAAACGTGCCATAGGTTGCATCAAAGGCATTGGGGCCAGCGGAACCGGCTCTGACTGCCGTTCGACAGACGTAGCCGCGATAGCATTCCCCATACCTTGGTCCATAGAGTTGCCCGATAGGATCGTACTCCCTGAACGGTCAAGCTTTGCGTTCACGCCGCCTCTCTCCGACCGCGCTTCCGCGGCTGGGTCATGGCCTGGGGCGTAGCGCCTTGGTGTTTGATGCAGAGAGGAGGGGAGGAGTGTGGCAGGAAGAGGTGGATGTGGCGGTTGCGACATGTACTGGAAGACCTGGGGCATCTGGGTCAATGCGACCGGGTCTGGCGGAAACTGCTGCTCTGGCGGGAATGGATACGAGTCTGTCGTGACGGCGTGCGGTCCTGAATCGTGGGTCTGCGGGATCATAGGGTCCTTCTGCGATAAAAGCGGGGACGCGAGGAAGTCGGGCTCGCTGCTCTCTGACAGCGACAAAGTCGGGGCGGTGGCGTTGTCCGGCGAGGGCATCTGGTCGGGATCTAGGTTAGAGTCGGGGTCGTTCTGTAGCAAGCGGATGCTGGTAGGCTCAGAGTCTGGCGACATGTTAGCACGCTTTGCGCCCTCGGACAGGACGGAATCGGCAATGGAGGCGAGCAAGAACGAGTCCAGTACGGAAACGGCCTTCTCCCCCCCGCTTGCGCCGGATCCCATGGTGAAGGTCAGCGGGCTGATTGGGGAGTCCTTGACGGCGGAACACAGGGCCCAGATGGCCAGGCGCCTCTGCACGTCGGGGTCTGCCGTGATGGTGGTGGCGCTGTTGGTGGTGAGGTTTGCCGTGAACACGCTGGCGCCGGCCTTGAAGAAGGAGACGGTGGCGACGCCACAGTACGCGCCTGTGTAGCACTGCAGGCTCTTGTACTCGGCGTCCGTGTCCAGCGGGTGCAGCTTCCTGGGCATGACGACCTTGCAGTTGCACGTGGCCAGGGCGTGGGCGGTCTCCGCACCGCAGTGCACGCACGGGCGGGCCTCGGTGGCGACGTAGTAGTAGACCATGTGGCGCAGCAGGGCCGAGGTGTTGAAGTGTTCGCGCATGCGGCTGATGATGCGGTGGAAGGGCTTCGCCTTGAAGAGCGAGAAGATGTGCTCGCGGTGGGCGGCAGATAGCAGCGTGTAGAAGGAGACCTCTGTGATGTGCTCGTTGAAGTTCTCCGAGATGAAGAGGCAGGTGCCCGTGGCGTCGTCGCGGGCGAGGCGGCCGATGTACTTGTCGCTGCAGACGACGGTGGAGGAGGAGGCGATTTTCTCGTTGACGGCGAAGCCGACGGTGATGGAGCCTGTGGTGAAGGAGGGCATGAGCAGGAGGCGATGGTGCTCGCCGACTTGCAGGGCGTTCTCGTGCGGGACGCCGTCGGCCAGGGCGGTGAGGTCGAGCTCGGCGGTGGTGGCCGAGCCCTTGGTGGCGGCGTGGCGCAGCATGTCCAGCTCGTGCGGGCGGCTCGCGAAGAAGAAGTCGTAGACCCAGTCGTGTTTGAGGACAGCGAAGACGCGCTCCATGGCGGCTTCTGTGAGCTCCATGGCAAGGAGGTGGGGGAGACGGTTGGAGAAGGGAGGGGTGGAGAAAGCGGAAGGGGGGAGGGGAGGTGGGGAGGAGAGGTTGGGAGGAGAGGTTGGGAGATAAAGTAGATGGGGCGGCGGATGGAGATGTGGCGGTCGAGGCGGTCAGGGGGGGGAAGCAGGGGCCAGGGCGGGCGAGGTGATTGGGTGGATTGTGCGCGCGCCGTCTGACGGGGGACATTCACACACCGGTTGGCTTTTTGAACGGCGCGCTGCGCTGATTGGATGCAACAGCGAAGTGCCAGCAAGTGCACCCCTGCGCCCCTTTTTCCTACAGTGCAGCCTGTCTTCCTTCTCGCGCACCACCTTGTTTTTCTCTGTGCTATCTCTACTACATCCGCCTCTTCGTTTTTGCGCTATACTGTACGCATTCTGGGTTCCGCAGATTATTCTCAACGTCTGGTCATGTACACCTCAGTAAACGCTTCCATTGATTGCGGTTCTTCCATATCTGTTAGTGGCATGGGTCAACCCCGCTGCCCGCTTCATCAGTCGTTATCCTCTCACTCCACTCTCACTCCTCCCATCCCCTCCCTTTTTCCGACTCATCAACAATCGAAACAGTGCGCATCACCTTCCACTCACTCGTGGCTCTCCTCTCGCACTGCGTCCGCCGCCCGCCCCTTCCTTCACAACCTTCATCTTTTCTCTCGCTATGCCACACTTACTTGCTTGCACAGAAATGCTAATGAGCCTCCCATCCCATCCCGGACGGACACCTATCTTGACTGCACACTGCTCTAGTTCCTCCACCCGTGTAACCTTGGGCCGTGTAACCTTGGGTACCCTTGGTACCTCTATGTCAAAAAAAAAAAAAGGGAAAAAGACGCACATATGCGCCCAAAACACTACGTGTAGCTGTGTGTCCGGTCCTCGTACGCATCGTCCTCCTACAGATCGTATTCATACGAACGGGACACGACCGCCCCAGCTCACCTGCTATCGAGGGACAAATCGCCCGACGCCTGCGAAGGCTCCATATCCGCCACGTCGAGCCTGACCTCGCCTACGAACCCGCCGCTTGCCCCCAGCCCCAAACCCTCCGTGTTCCACCTCTCCGTGTTCCACCTCTCCCGCAGCCAAATATGTTCGCATCGCAGCTCGGTCTCCTTATCCTTGAGCTCGGCGACGCGCTGCCGCATCACCATCAGCATCAACCGCAGGCTCTTGTTGTTGTTCTTCCTCTTCAAGTTGCTCCTCTTCGCCGCCATCCGGTTCTTCTCTCGCCGATTCAACCCCGCCGCACTCGCTCTCTTCCCCTTATCCGCACCCTCGCCCTTTTCTCCCTCATCCTTCTCGCCCTCGCCCGTCGGCAACTCGCTTGCCATCAGCACCTTTGCCAGCCGTGCGACCGGGTCACTCCCCAGCCCCCCTTTCTCCGGCATCTTCGTTTCCACCAGCTGGCTGTCCCCTCCTTCCTCTGCCTTGCCCTCCCCGCGCGCCTTGGCCAGGCAGTGGTATTGCAGGCGGTTGCACATAGCGCGATGCCACACGCGGTCCACACGCTGCGCGCACGAGCGTTCAACAAGCGCGGTCTCCTCGCACTCCAAGTTGGCGTGCATAGTTTGCACGCCATCCTTGAAAAACTCGAGCGCCACGCTACCCGCATACGCGCCCGCAAAGCGTTGCATGCTGCGCTGGTACGGGGCAAAGTCGAGCAGGTGCCTCCCGTGAAACGCGTCGACCTCGCAGCGGCACGCGGCGGCGGCGGCTGCGCCTGCGGGGGCGCACCGCGGGCAGGCGCGCGAGTACTCGGTCTTGGAGAGCTGCAGCAGATTGTGTGCGAGGTGACGCGGCAGGTGCGGCGGCGGGACGGCGGCGAGCGCGGCGGCGCGGCCGCGCAGCAGGAGGGCGACGCGGGTCTTGCGGCGCAGCGTGCGCAGCGAGGTGAGGACGAGCTCGGTCTCGGTGGCGCCGGCTGCCGGGCGGGCCTCCAGCAGCAGGGCGGCGGCGTCGAAGAGGGCGAAGCGGGCGAAGGAGAGCGAGTGCGGCGGCGGCTGCAGCGCGCGGCACGGCTTGGACACGGTGCGCTCGCACACGGAAAGGCCGACGGTGACGCCGTCGAGCGAGTAGGCCGGGATGCGCACGGTCGAGGCGACGGTGCGGTGGTCGAGGACGTGGGCGTGGTTGGAGTTGGGCTCGTGCGCGCAGACGTGGCGCGTGTGCGACAGGGCGTGGCGGCGCGCCAGCGGCGAGCACAGCAGCGAAATGTCGGGCATTAGGTCGGCGTTGAGCAGGAAGTTACGGATCCATGAGTGGCGGCAGAGAGTGGCGCACAGCTCGGCGAGGAGGGTCTCGGTTGTTGCGGACAACATGGGCGGCGGGTGTACGAGGGGAGGGGCGGATCGCGGCGGGGTGGATCGCGGCGGGGAGGCGGGGAGCGCGTTTCTCATAAGGAGTGCGTGAGTAGTGCAAGATTTAGCCAGCGCAGTGGGATGGTGAGCCCAGTGCGCTGGAAAGCGGTGGGGGAGGGGGGGGGGGGGGAGGGGGTGGGGAAGTGGAGTTGAACACGAGATTCGGGGATATTGTTGCTGCTGGGGATTCCGGGGTGACGAGGCGCGTCAGGCCCGCAATGGCGGGAGAGGATGAAGCACCCACACAACTGTGGGCGCGATGAGGTACTCGAGTAGGCACACAACCGGATGTCTGGCAGATGGAGATGGCTCGCGGCAGAAGGGCGGAGCAGCAGCGATGTGGGTAGCATTCGAAGGGTACAGCACCGAACCTTTATCAGCCGGGAAAATCACACCTCGTCGCCGGGTGACAACTCCTGTGTACAGTATGTTGCGCACAGGACAAGGCGAGGGCGTGGATTGGCGCAAGCGAAAGCATCCAGAAACTGCGGCGCCCACGATTGCGCCCGCCGTTTCCAACCGCAGTCGCGTCCGGGCAATTTGCTATGGCGCAGCCCCCGCCTTCTTGCGCCCGCGTCCTGCACCGCGCCGCTTGCTGTCCGGCACACCCGACGCCACTCGCCGCCGGCCAGTCCGCTTTGCGACAAATGTGACAAGTCGCTCCCGCGCCCGGGGCGTGCCCGTCACTCTTTACAAGTCCTCACCGCGTCCCCCGCTCCTCCCTCTCGCAATAATACCATACTGTACACCCGTATCTACAGTAGCGCGTCATTGCACGCCGCCGACCCACGCGTGCGCAGATCGCTTCCCCTCCCCCGCACCCCCCCTTCCCCGCCCCCCCTTCCCCGCCCCCCCTTCCCCGCCCGCCGCGGCCGCCTTCGCCGCCTCGGCGCGCATCACCGGCCCCCCGCGGCGTGGCTAGCGCGCATGAGCCGCTTGAGATTCATGTTCTCCTCGCGCAGGCCCTGGTCCTTTGCGCGGAGCGCCACCTCCAGGGCGCGCAGTTTGTACAGCTCTGCCTTGCGCGCGTCGTTCTCTTGCTTCTTGCGCAGGTTGCTGCGCTGCGCCGACTCTCTGTTCTTCTGCTTCTTGCGCTCGGCCTTGCGCCACTTCTAGTAGTCGTGGTCGTGGTCGTGGTCGTGGTCGTGGTCGTGTTCGTGCTCGTCGCGCGCGGCGCCGCGCCGTGAATGAAGCTCGCATCGTCACTGGCCAAAAAGGCTACCAAACCAGCAATATCCTCAGGCGTACCCAGCCGACCAGCGGGAATATCTTTAGCAGCGGCGGCAGCT